AGAAATTCCTAGAGTAGGGTAATAGGTATTTTTACAAATAAAATATAAGCATAAAATACTATTACGTACAATCACTTAAATTAATTTTTTTAAACTACAGAAACAAAAAAAGGGCTCATGATCTTCAAACGGCTGAGCAGATTTTCTTGAAACATAGTTTAAAACACTCTTGATTAATACACATTTTAAATGAAAAAAAACTTAAACAAAATGGGTTCATCTGTTCAGGAGCTATGATGCCACAGACAGACGCACAGATACACACTACAACTTACAACACCCCTCTGTTTTCGTCGGGGGTTAAATATACATTAATATAGACAACTATATTATCTTAAATTTGGATTAAAATTTAGGAAATCTTGTTCTTTTATTTTAACTCATATTAACTTGTACATATATAGTATTAACATCATTGTGAGAAGTTGGGAGTAATTTTTCGGTTAAGAATTCTAGTAGTCTCTCAGAGAAGGAAGGCTATTTGAGAATGCATTGAAAAAGCCACGTAATATCGTATCGTTCGGTGGCTTCTCTCTGTTCATAAAAGCAACCAGTGTTCGTACTCTCACAAAACTGTTTATCGCCTATCGCGCAACGTTACGAGCAGCGCCCCGAGTTGCCTCGTCTCCACTCTACTTGAATACCCCTTTTACGTGTTGACTGAATAAAGCTCGACGCTTTGATGGCGAATGAAGTAACCAATCTAAAACTTATGTACATTAACTAGTTTTATGCAAATCACGTTTCAGTGTTCTGTTTAAGTGGTCCAAGAAAGCATTAATCATGTAGCATTGTTGCGATGTATTATACATAACGAGTGGGCTATATTGGGGTTAGAAGAAATCGATGGAGCGGGGTCGACGCGCTCAATTTTCAGTTAATTATATTTAACAATGTGTCCTCCACCCACAAGTCTCTGAATTCTGTAATCAACGCCATAAAATACAGCTATTATCTAGGACGGGGTAAGATAGCTAATAATTTATTTTCGTGTTAAATTTTATTCATCGTTCGCCTTTGAATGTATTCCACGATATGGAACTCTACCTTGAAGCAACTCTTATATTTCGGAACAGAGACAGGATCTTCGTACCCACTGTGCTTCGCTCCTTCGTCTGTGGGATTTTGGGTTCGGTGATTTTGGATAGATTTTCCCCATTAGGCGATCGACCGATGAGAGCGCCGTGTGGTGGCGGCTCAAGAGAATTGCACATTCCATTTTGGCCACTATGGTCAAGGCCTCCATAGACGACGTTATACCATCACACACGTAACAGCGGCAGTCTCAACGGAGGGTAGTCATCTTAGCAAGATAGGATTACAGTGCGCACGTAGAAGTGCACTAACAATCGCGTTTACGACTACTAGACGAGATGATATACCGATATAGATATTATGTAAATAGTAAGACAACGCACCTTACCAACGTTCCAATCATAAAAAATCTCTTGCTGGGACAGACCCACGCCCAGCGTTGAATTTACAGTGTGATAAAGAAAGTAGAAGAAGAAAGATATGCGTTCGCAAAAGCCTCGTTTGTAAACAAGATACATCGCATAAAGGTAAAATTGATATTTGAAGAAAGAGTTTGCAATATTCCGCAATATTATACATCAAAAGTATACACACATACGTTTATGGTATACAAGGAAATAGTTTTATAATATAAGCGTGTAGGTACAGCAAATTTTACTTTCGTTGCCCTAAAGCACGGCTGTGAGCTTAATGCGTCAGCTAATATGCTATTATATTCCATCGGTCATAAATCGGTTGCCAAACTTTCCTCATTAGATTGAGAAGAGGCGGCGCCGACCACTGTGATTGATTTTATTTATTGCCCCGTTTATTTATTAGTTACGATTTTTTTTGCAAGAAAATTGGAAAATCAGTCAGTATAACTTCGTGTATGAAAAATGGGTGGGTGGGTATTTTAATGCTTCCACTGTAAATTATAGTTTATATATAAAATATGTTACATCTTATTTTAATTAGGCATCTGACTTTGATTCTTAGTCGAGGATAGACAATATATTATATACTAGTATATATATATATATATATATATATATATATATATATATAGTATATATATATATATATATATATATATATATATAAGGTACTAATATTGAATACGTAATATTGAAGGTACATCTTTGAATGTTACTCAGCAATATATCAAAGTCCATAGGACAAGACATTGCCTTAGTGGAGTCTTACCTCAAACTAAACGTCGTAATATATACATTTACAATACATAAGTATTCTGAGGTTTATATTCTCTTAATTCTAAAGGAACTCAGATCACAAAAAAATAATTTAAATGATATCCTTAATGCGTAAATTATTGTTTAGAATAATTCTATTTAATCTTTTTCTTCTATGCGTTACGACAAAAATATTGCTTGAAATGTTGTGATCAGTACGATTAAGTTTATAATAACGATTTTCTTATTATACTTTCTTCTTCTGTAAATACTAGGTACAGACACAAGCTAGTAGTACCAGTTACTCGACTCCACCGAGTCAGTAATTCATTTTTAGGGCGATGTATCACGATTTTATAACAAAATCCCAGAAAATAGTTATTAAAAATAATTACCTGTACAAAGTTCAAAAACTTTATTAAACTGGGTTTGTGTCGAAAGGGTTATTATAATATTGTTACGCGCTCAAGTCGACGGCACTAGCGCCATCTAGTCTCGAACTAAACTTCTTGAAGTTGAAACACGAACTCTCGGTACCTTGCGCGTGTTTACTTGAATATTCTGGATATTTCGCTGCTAATTTATATAAATAGGCGCTGCAAGATGCGATCGGGAAAGTGTTGATTTTGGCGAGACAAGCGAAGCTTCGGAGCGGAATAAAGCGAATCAGTGTGATTAATTATTAGTGTTTTAAGTTTTAATTTGTGTAAAGAAAATTAAAGTGTTAATTTAGGTAATTTTATCGACAATTTTTATTGTCACGAACCTCAAGCTCGTAACAATATTAAGGAATTTATGAATGATAATAACCCCCAAAAAGGTGATCGCTACCAATCTATTTCTAATTTGTTTTGTGTTGTTAATTTTAACATACAAGATTGTGAACGGTAATTTAAAAAAAGGCCCGCTGGGTTTCTTGCTGGTCCTTCCTAGGGCAGAGGTTTTTTCTGAACTAGTGGCAGTCTTTAAAAAAATGTTATACAGTAAGTATTATTTACAGAAAAAGTGACTTTTAATAAGTATTATTTATAATCTATATTGAATAAAAAACTTTCTGTTTCTTCCTCAAACATAATCTTTATAAAGTTAATGTCAAGTAAATTATGTAACTATTAAATTGGTTAAAAAAGGTTCAATTGCCTTCTATTATTGAGGGGTACTTTTTCAAAAACAAATAGTAATATAGAAACTATTTGCTGTAAGGTCGCGACGTAGGGTAATCCTTCACCGTATTTCGTCTGATGGATTCTGTGTTCCTTAAGAGGCTAGTATGGGATATGCCTGAAAGATCTCATGGTTTGCGATGTATACCTATTATTTTAAACTCTAGATACAAAGTACCAGACGGGAGATAGCGCCAAAGGAGCGATACGTCTGGACTGGGAATCGCTATTCCTCGTGCCAAGCGTTGCAATTAAATAAAACGGGAGAAGTCCACGTCTAGTATTGGACTTTCAAGGGCTGGTGAAAGGAAGAGAAGATGAATATAGAAATTGATATTACATTTTAGATATTTAATTAATGAAAAATTACTATAATATTATTATCTGCCGCCATTCAGTTTAGTTATTGTTTTAAACGAGAGCTTCAGGAAATAGTATCAGAATTTTGGAATATCGTATTAAACATTATTAGGGCTTAGTTTATATAGTTATATTGTGGCAGACGTTTGGGAATCATATTGAATTACACGATGAAATTCGACAAGCAAACAGAATACCTACGGATACCTTGACGGAAACAGAAGCAATTTGTGTTTTTGTGTTTCCAATAAATTGTAGAACTTTGCCACAAAATAGCGTGAATTGTAAACATGTTTATGTACATTTGAACAATTGCCAAGCGCTTAATAGAAATCCCATATATTAAGCTCAACTTAAATAAAAATTACCAATTTTACAAACCAACAATCAATTTTTTAATCGTCAGATAAAAGTCAGTCATAGGATAAATCAAAACACATAAACAAATTAAGTTGACAGTTGTATGAAAAAAATAGTTCAATTGTTTCACTTTTCAGTCAGGTTATAATTTATTTGTTGGATAATGTTTATCTGATGAAAAATCACCCCCAAAATTATGTGTAATTTAGGGGCGATTTTTCATCCACAAACCCGTGCGTTATCAAAACAGTTTTCAAACCTATATAAATAACTTTACTTTAGAAAACTCGACTATTAAATATAAAAAAATATAAAAAATAATTTGTAAATTGTATGCGATTTTATCATCTCTAATTGACATGAGCATCAGTAAAGCGGGTTCTTAAACAATTCTCTTACTATCCGGCCTTAATTGAAATTAATTTTCAATAAAAAAAATTTATGGTCGAGTTTTTTTTGAATTACAGTTATTTCTATACGTAACAATAACGCACTTAACGGGGACCACAGGGTTTTTGCTCTCACAGGGTTGATGTTACGTGGTAGAGCTAATCCGCCATGATGCAGCTATATTAATTGTATAGTAGCAGCACGAATGGGACACGCTCTCACAAATACCAGCGTCAAATAGCAGCTTAATACTGCTGTGTTTCGTATGGTGAGTGTAGAGAACCGGAGACCCTTTTTACTGGAAAGAGGCATTCCATCTTAGTCCCCAAGGCTGACAACGCATCTTCATTTTGATTCGCAAACGAAGAAAGATGTAGATGTCTATGGGCCACAGCAACTACTTACTATCAGGTGGACTGTGCTCGCTTGTCAACCTTTTCCTATAAAAAAAATCCATGTCGTCAATGGCGAGTAAAGTTGAAGATGGCGGTGGGGATAAGATGAGGGATATTGTATTTACCTGGTGCGGCGTGTAGGGGCTGGGCGCCGCCGCGTAGGGCTGCGGCTGCGGCGGCGGGTAGCGGCAGGGCTGCGGCGCGTAGGCCGCGGCCCACTGCTGCGTGCCGCCGCGGTACTGCGCGCCCGCGCTCGCCATGCGCGCCGCGCACGCGCCCGCGCCCGCACTCGCGACCGTCACCGCGCCCGCGCCCGCTCCGCTTGCCGAACGACAACCGCCGCTGCTCTGCAACCAAATAATAATTATGACTTCCAAACACTTAAGAGGATACCTTGAAAATGAATCGAAGTTTTGGGGGCGTGGCTTATTCCTTTGTCGGTGAAGCTAACGGACGACTGAGGGAGTGTCAAAATGAAAGTGATGCAATGACTTATGATGATGACAATGACTGTTCAAAACTTAGATATGATTATTTACATAATATGTCAAATAACTTGGTGTAATACTGGACCACAAACTTAACTGGCGCTCACACATAGAGCTTACAACTGAACGTACTAGAAAACTTATTTGGGTGTTTAAAAAGTTAAGATAGACTGTTGATTTACCTCTCTTGCGTTCAATTTACTATACTTTAGTTCAGTCCGTAATACGGTACTGTATAAACGTCTGGGGAGGAGCCTGTAAGACCTTTCTAATCCGCCTGGAAAGGGCACAAAGATCCCTCTTAAAAGTCATGACCTTTAGGCCATACAGATTTCCCACTAAAGAATTGTATGAGATATGTCGAGTATTAACTGTGAGGCAACTGTACATTTTGAAAGTAATTACTAAACAGCATATGGTTACCATTTATCATCATCATCATCACAGCCCTTCACAAGTCCACTGCTGAACATAGGCCTCCCCCAAGTAATGCCACAAAGCACGGTCCTGAGCCACCTGCATCCATCGACTTCCTGCATATCTTACCAGGTCGTCACTCCATCTAGTGGGGGGTCGCCCTACACTACGCCTACCGGTACGAGGCTGCCACTCGAGAACCTTTCTTCCCCATCGGTTATCGGTTCTTCGAGCTATATGGCCGGCCCATTGCCACTTCAGCTTACTAATCCGTTGGGCTATGTCGGTCAATCTGGTTTTACTGCGGATATCCTCATTTCTGAGTCTATCACGCAGAGAAACTCCGAGCATAGCCCTCTCCATAGCTCGCTGAGCGACCTTGAGCGTCCTCATACGGCCAGCAGTGAAGGACCACGTCTCTGATCCGTAAGTCATCACTGGCAACACGCACTGGTTGTACACTTTAGTTTTCAGAGATTGAGGTATACCTGACGAGAAGATATGTCGTAATTTCCCGAACGCTGCCCAGCCGAGTTGAATCCGTCGATTGACCTCTCGGTCGAAGTTGGACTTACCTAGTCGGAATATTTGTCCCAGGTAAACGTACTCGTCAACAACTTCGAGCATAGTGCTCCCAACAACTACCGGCATAGGTGTGACATGGAAATTAAACATAATCTTTGTTTTGTCCATGTTCATCTTAAGACCTATCCGTTGGGAGGCACTATTGAGGTCATTGAGCATAGTGCTTAAGTCCTCCAGCGATTCTGCCATAAGGACTATATCGTCGGCAAATCGAAGGTGAGTGATGTACTCGCCATTGATGTTAATACCGTATCCTTTCCAGTCCAGTAGCTTGAAAACGTCTTCCAAAGCAGCGGTGAAGAGTTTCGGGGATATAACGTCACCCTGTCTTACACCTCTCTGCAGTTGGATAGGTTTCGAACTCTGGTTCTGTACTCGGATAGCCATCGTAGCCCTACTGTACAAACACTTCAGCACTTCGATATACCGACAGTCAACTTGGCACCGCTGAAGGGACTGCAGCACCGCCCAAATTTCGACGGAATCAAAGGCTTTCTCATAGTCCACATACGCCAGGCAAAGTGGCAAATTGTACTCTTCAGTCTTCTGTACAATCTGCCGCAGGGTATGTATGTGGTCTATGGTACTGAAGCCTTTTCGGAAACCGGCTTGTTCGGGAGGCTGGAAGTCGTCGAGTTACTAACTTATAGTAACTAGTGGCATTATAAATGGTAACTTAGTAAGTTACCATTTATAATGCCACTGATTATAACAAAAACCGGGTTATAAAAAATGTGTGTTTACCAATAACATGTCGAACAGCCTCTGCTAGACGGCAACATGCAAACAAAGCAAACACACACACACACACACATACACACACACACACATACACACACACCCAAACACACACACACACACACACACACACACACACACACACACACAAACATGCACGCGCACATGCCCACACACATACACACATTACACGCAAAAATTATTTAAATCTTAAATTTCAACCACACACACGAACACATGCAAACGCACGCACACTACAGCGCACTCACACACACATGCCCAGACACGCACCCAGCCGCAAGCAAACACACACACATGCACGCACACACACACACACACACACACACACACACACACACACACACACACACACACACACACACACACACACACACACACACACACACAAGCACGCACGCACACATGCACACACCCATACACACACGCAAACACAGATTTTAAAATTCCTTTATTTACATGAAATAAGTAGCTGTCATTATATTAGGGAAATTGCTGACTCTCGTAACACAGGTTTTCTAACCTAGCTCGGAAGTCAGGGGCTTAAAAAAAATATATTGTAACAAATTTTATGTCAATAAAGATTATTATTATTATTTACTATGCCTTAAAAACAATTCCATGAATTTATTCGTAAGAATATTGTGGTGTCATGGAGAAATGTAAATAATTAGAGCCTATTTTGCAATATTTTATATCGAGAAAATTACATGATATCGTGTTTTCCTTTTATGCAATCCAAGGTCATATAGTCAAAAATCTTATACCAAAATATTGGTTTGTAATATATAAAACATAAAAAAATATGTTAAATAGAAAAACCACCAAATTTTCGAGGTATCACCTTAAACTTCGCGCATTGATCATGGGCTGTAATGATCCTGATAGCTATTTTATTCTATCCTGGTGTCCTGATCAGGATGCTAGGATGAAGTCTTTAAATTATTGTATTTTTACCAGTCCTTGATACGAGTGCAAATTTTCAAGTAAATCGGCCATCTATAACTTGGTGAAAATTACATTAAAATACGAGTATTCTGTAACAGAGATAGATAAATAAATACATGCGAAGTTAATCAAAGCGCCTAAAAAAATGTTTTAGTTTCAGTTTAACAAAATGATTAAAAGAAATGCTATGGAACTTGGCACGTTTTCACATCTCAACTCTTTTATTGCCGAAACCAACAACCCCAAACGTCATTATACCGAATTGGGTCCCACTTCACATTTATATTTTTGGTGGGATCACCATTTCACATTTATGATTCTTGAGATATGTGTGATCAAAAAAGTTAACTAACATTTAACGTTTTATTATATATTAGTAGCATACATACATACTTTTAAAAAGAGTGGAATTGAACTAGTACACAAAACGTAGAGAATTTTTTAACAGTAAAAGGTGTGCAAACGAGCAAACAGTCCACCCGATAGTAAGCTGTTGATATGGCCCATAGATATCGTTTTTTTTAAAATAGGATATGGGTGACAAACGAGCACACAGTCCACCTAGTGCATAGGCATTTACATCTATTCTTGATCACGAATCAAAATGTAGATGCGTTGTCACCCGTGAGGACTAAGATGGAATGCCTCTTTTCCAGTAAAAAGGGTCTCGGGTTCTCTACACTCGCCATACGAAACACAGCAGCATTAAGCTGCTATTTGACGCTGGTATTCTGTGAGAGCGTGATCCTTCCCCGTTTGAGCCGAGCCACTCGTGCTACAATTATACTACTAATATAGCTGCATCTATGTTCGATTAAGAATCAAAATGGAGACGCGTTGTCAACCCTGAGAACCCAGATAGAATGCGTCGTTTTTAGTAATAAGGGTCTCCGGATCACTATGCTTACCATATAAAACACAGCAGCATTAAGCTGCCATTTTATTCTGGTATTCTGTGAGTGTCTTCCTTCCCCGGTCGAACCAACAAATTTGTACATAATCCATAATATGCAGCGTGGCTCTGCCACGTATAAAATAACACGTAGTATAATTGATAGTGACAAATTAATAGGTCGTTGGTGTCTTGTTCTGCCCAGGAGTTGGTCAGGGTAGCTATATGAGAAATTCAAAAAACATCTGATAGAGTAATTGCCTAAGCTATGCGCAGTAGGCTGAGCAGTCGCTATAAATTTGACAGTGCTCGAGCAGCTTGGATCCGATCGCCACAGGCATCAATGAAATAGTTAATCGCAATTTGAAATGCTTGCCGTAAAAGGATAAACATCACGGGAAAACGTGCATGTCAAAAGAATATTTCTGGGACATGTGAAATTGACCACACGTACTGCAGCAGCGCGGAAGTCTAATAGCTCCATAACTCTCTCAGAAATGAGAGGCTTGTGCTCAGCAGTAAAGTTATATAGGCTCTAATTGCACACCTCAGTCGCGAAGCGGAGACGTTAAGCTTTACTGTCGACGTGACAAGGTCACACTACCTGCTCGTATTAAATTAAATCAGGTTTTTTAACTGCATTTAATACGTGAAGAACAGCACCATACTATTAAGAAGTAACATTTTAGGTTTTTACTTTTAATATCTTTAATGCTACTTTGTCATATCGGTTTTAAGTTAGTGAGGCGGTAGAAATACGTACTTAATATAAACCAAGTTTTATGTTAAAAGTGAACCTCATCTGTACGCGATTTGACGAGTGACTAATGGCGAAAAATTAAATAATAAAAACCAAATACAAATTTAAAAAACTGGTGAATGGCTAACGGTTATTGATTCTGCGCTTACTTATCTGTCTACCAAGCTTGACGAATTAAGTAAAAAAGATAAAGTTACAGCCTATATACCCTTTCCTGGGCACCCCTAAGTTCCTAAGCCCTAGTCTCTCTCTAAGTCTCTCTAAGTTTTAGGGCAAGGAAATGTCTACCGCGCTGCCTACGCATGTTGGCAGACTTCACATGGCTTCGAAATATTTTTTTTAATTTCTTAGAGATGTAGGTTTCCCTACGATGTTTTCCTTCACCGCCGAGCACTTGGTAAATTAGCATATAAAATGGCAATTAACAATGCTCGCATTCTATAAAATTCACAGCGACCGCGTAGCCCCTGAGCGTGAGCATATTCAACTTTTCCAGATAATCAATGCCAGCTAGGGTATTCTTGGATAGGAAATGTGCGTAACCGTAAGCTTTAGTAGTAAATTTGTAAGAAACTTTGCAAAATCAGGTAAAATACAATAATCTTCGACGGATGATAGATAACAAAACGCAGAATAAAGTAATTTAAAGTAACAAACTATAGGGGAGAGTGGGGTAATTACTTCTTCAGGTATATTTTAAAAGTATGAGAGATATTTTGGACGATACAATTAATAATCGAGTCTGAAACTGCTAAAACTAGTATCGAACCGTAAACGCCGTAGTGAATTAACGTTTGCAGAGGTAAGCTTAATTGAACTTTTGTTCACAATTTCATCTAATATTTGAGTAAAATAAAAAATAAAACGTTATATTTGTAACACAGAAATTCGTGATCATTTTGCTGAATTAACAACCTTATTAAGCAACACTTTCAAAATGTGCCATGTGCACCACGCGATTCGAACCTCGATAAAAAGAATAAATTTTCCATTTTATTTGACGAACGATGTCAATGGGATAATCTCGGACGCGCATAGTTGTTACCCTTAAACAAATTGAAGAGGAAGAAAATGAATTGTAAGACTACATAATCAAAAATGGAACATGAGCAAAGAAAAATGAGTATTATTGATATTTATATTTATTTTCTCCTTAAGTGTTCTCAATAACGCAACTCTCTCCTAAATGTCCCACTGCTGTGCTTTTTCTCATTATTAAGAGAGTACTGTAGACAAAACAGACTGCTTTGCTACTCCAGACAACTCCACGCGTGCAGCGTATTGGTCTCAGTATTTCTAAGATTTGCAGCATTCCTAACGATATATTCCTCCACCGCTCTACAGAACTTACAATCATTTCAGTTCATTCAGTTACAGAACAATTGATGTATTAACACAGAAATCGTAATAATAAGACAATAGCAATCGCATAGACGCGTGAATTTGTCGTCGCTAATGATGTGTTGACGAACATCATTCAACCTTTTTGTTGATTTAGTTGCGCTGGGAATATCGTGCGTGAATTTATGTTATTATAAATTTATAATGGTGAACTGCAGCATAATCAGTTGTAAAAACTCATCAAGGACGTGTAATTCAACTAATAAAGGCATAACATTTCATCGGTAAGTTGATTATTCACTAATTATCATTGTTTTAACTAATTTACATCTAGATGAATACTTTAATATGATATTTACCTTTGTAAACTTCATTTATTACTTTTCGTATTGTACAATTACCATTGCTGCTTTTGTTCTACGTTGACAAACTCACCAAGCAATGTAATGTATACATTAGATATCATTGTGCATTGTGCGTATGTTTATAATACGGTAAGATGTGACGATATCGGTTTTGGAAGTAATCGAGCGCTAATTTATTTCTATTGTCTTATTATTACTATCTGTGGGTATTAATTAGGTGGATATTACGAGTGTGACTAATAGACATAGGTACCGCGTGTGTGTACTCGGCCGTGACTGCGTTTACACTTTCGTGAATATGCCCCTCTTCTACGTTATGTAGGCAATGATGTTTACTGAAACGTACTGATTTCCTTTTGCCTTCATAACGTTCCTTTAGTCTGCAATACATAACGCTTTATTGATTTTTATTGTGAATTAATTAAAGGTAATATTGCCACGAAGTCAGATTTGGTTTAAAAGTATCGTATATTTATTATTCCGAACGAGTGACCTCACCAAAATAAGATTTATAGTGATAATAACAATGTATAATTTTACCCGGCGGCCCCCGTCTACTGACTTAATTATTTGAGTCACGGAATCCGAAAAACCTCAGGGATCAGAGTTTTGTAATCATTTTTTTTTCTGAGTAAATACCGTTCCTATTTTTTTATAAATTTCTTTTCATTGTAAAAAATAGGTGAACAATACAGTAAGGCGATAAGCCTTCAATCCGCTTAGAGGGAGTGGGCGTACGGGCCGGGGCATTAGGGTAAAATATAGATTCTTAATGATGGTAGCGGTGACGGTTTGTCCTTGGTTTCAGTGGAATGCCGATAAAACCGACCGATAACCCGTTTTTTCTACAAAATCGTCGTATTATGTTGAACAAAAAATTAAAATAAAGTTAGGTTTTTTTTTTGTATAAGAACGTAAGTTATCACGACCTGTATTTGTATATTTTTAAGTCTGTGTGATGTAAATGGGTTTTAGGAACCTTGTACCAGCCGTCTCTTTCTAGTCTATGCAGTAACTTAAAAGCGCGTGACGAAAATAATTATGTGCTATGTGAATAATGGGCTTTAAATCTATGAAAAAGTTTATGAACTAATTACAATATGAATTAAATATAAATGCACTTAGGTTTTATTTCTTTTTCCGCAAGGGAAATTAAAATCTTGAAGAATTCATTTGTTTATTAGGTGGCATAAATAGGCTTAGGAGTATTTTGGGTTGATACGGCCCTTTTAAATATCGCCGCTGCCAAGCAGAAATGCACCCATTGCTATATTCCGGTTTAAATGAAGAAAGCCATTATAATAAATGGCTGTGAAGTATTTCATCTGTTCAGTCTGAGGTCATCTTTGCTTGAAGTTGGTTTGGTATTCCAGGTTTGCAGTAGCTACTTAGGAATCAGTAAACAGCCATTTAGTACCATCACTTGGAATATTTATTAGCTCGTTTGTCAATCTAATATTACGAAAAAAAAATTGAGTATTATATATTATTTATACAAATTTTTCTCGTGTAAAAAATAAAGACTATTGTTAAAATTTAGGGCAGTATTAAGCGTATCCAAACTGTAGCATGTTACCGTATAAAACCCGGTGGCGGGCCGGTGATTAAACCAATTATCTCTAATTGTGCTGATAAGTTTAATGAGCGAATACTTTCCCAGATGGGGAGTTCAACGTGTTTAAATAAATATAGGTTAGTTCATCTTTGACAGTGACTGGCATAGTTGAGTGAATTTGAATATTCTTTATTAAATATTAAAGGTTATATACCTTAATTTGGGGTATTTATATAGTTTTCTCATCTGATTGGGTTGAATAGTTTGGTTGAAAAATATGATTGGGCAAATTCAAATTCAAGTTTTGTACGCGGTAAAGCCTTGCTGCTGCTATACTATGGCTGCAGCACAAATGGGTCGGCTCGACTGGGGTAGGACCACGCTGCCACAGAATACCAGCGTCAAATAGCAGCTTAATGTCGCTGTGTTTCGTAAGGTGGTGTAGAGAACCGGAGACCCTTTTTACAGGTAACGAGGCATTAGATCATAGTACTCAGGGGTGATAACGCATCTGCAATCGAGGATAGATATAGATGTCTATAGGCCACAGAATCCATTTACCATTAAGTGGGCTGTGCTAGCTTGTCATCCTTATTATATTTAAAAAAAGATGGATAAAGCTGTAAGTACCAATTATACATCGTACTAATTTAGTAACTATGGTGTCAATTACCTAATGAAATTACAGTATCTGTTCTGTTTTCTGATAACGGCTGCGTCGCCGCTTCAGTCAATATTTTACGCTGTGTAAAAAAACATATGGGACGCGGAAAAATAACTCCTGTTCCTTCGATCTAAGGGCATGAAACCTCATGAGGTATGCCTTTATATACATATTCTTTCAAAAACTTTGACTCGAGATGAGTAAAAGATTATATTACGCTTTCGACATGGCATTCTGTATTTTATGTTTTTATAACATTACGTTGTTATTAGGGAAACACTGCTGCCCACCTTCTGGTTTATTCCTCCGTCTCTATCTTTTTGTTCCCTCTTACGACACCCACCGGATGATATGGGGTAGTGGATATTCTAACACAGTTACTACACGGTCAACAGTTAACAAATGACAATACACGTAATGATATCAAAACTAATAATTAAATTTTTCCAGTTGTTCTATTTTAATGATTACTTATATCGTTAAAGGGAAATATAATGTCAAATGACTTAGCAAGATCCTTCGTTATGCCGAAAATATTGCAGCATTAATTTTGAAATAAATATATGGTAAAGTTGACGATTAATGTAAGTGATTATGTTAGACGAAAACACGATTTCGTAAAATTTTCTCGATAGAAAAAAATACCAAAGTTACCTCCAAAATAAACAATAAACCGCTATTATTCATAAAATACTTTAAATAAAGATCATGAAACTTTGCATACTAACTGAACTACCTATAAAGCAGTGCTTATGTTATTTACTTTTTTTAAAATACCATTATTTTCACTGTAAAAAGAAATTACCTAAACTATCGGCGTCTTGCCACTTTTGAGCTTGATTCCTCGTCGTTCCGAGTATCGCCTAGCTTTTGAAGGGAGAGTTGTGTCGCTTACGATCAGAATATACATTACGCAACAGTACGACGTAAAATTAAAATGGGAAATAACCGTGATAAAAATAAGAAGCGGCTGGCTTGGCTTTAAAAACAGGCATAAATATGATAAACCTATTGAAATAAGTGTCTAACACCTTTCTACTTACAGTAATGTTACAAAATTCTAATACATACGCGAATGCGTTAAAATTTGACTGACTTATCTAACCTCGTTAAAATAAAAATTTTGCGTAAATCGGACCAAAAGTTAATATTCAAAAACTGAAGGTAGCCGTACTAACTATGACATTGGGACGTCAAACATCTCAGTCCCCCGGGACCATGGGTGCTGTAAAGCACCCGAAACGTCAGAACTTAAAAAATAAGTAAAATAGTTGATTAAACGAGATAAAATCCGTAAATATAGTTTTATTCAATGTTCTATTTTATACTAAAATCTTAAAAAATATTGTTTTTAGATCTATTGAAGAACGTTGCGATTTCTGTCGATATAATTTTAGGTAATGGTATGAAACTTGGCACCTGTATATACCTCACCTTTTTTTTCGCCGAAGCCAGCAACCCCCAACGTCATTGTACCAAATTTAGCCCCTTTTCACATTTGTGTTTTTGGTGGGATTTCTTTTTCTTGAGATATGTGAAATAAAAAGCTACCGTTTAGCGTATACACGTACGAGCTCACATACATCTTTTGAAAAAGAGTGGAATGGAACTCCTCTTCAACAACGTCGAACAACGTCGAGATAGCATTTTTTACAGAATATGGTAACAAACAAGCACACAGTTGCTCACAGGTCAGTAGATGCTGTGGCCCATAAATATCTACATCTCTACCCTTGATTAAGAATCAAATGCAGGGCTGCGTTGTCAACCTATGACTATCACCATACAAAACGCAGCCGCATAAAGCTGCTATTTTACGATGGCATTCTGTGAAAGAGAGGTTTTTCTCCGTCCAAGTAGATATATAGATCCTCACTCGTGCTATACCCATAACATATGTATGAGCAGCATGGCTCTACTACGTATAAAAAATGTTGATTTTGTGTTTTGAGTGTATAACTCACCTTGTAAAGTTTAACTAGATTAACATAATATCGTCATGAGCCTCATCTTTTGAGATGTTACGTTTTTTATTTTACTATTAATTAAGTTATCATTGTGCTGCAACATGCACAATTAGTTTTAATTATGATAGAAGTTTTTTTTTTCATTGCCACAAATACGTAAAATGTATAAATCACTTTTGATATAATTTAAAAATCTCGTCTAGTCCAGTTTGCAGGTTTTGAGGACCTTCGTAAAAAAAAAGTGGCGTCAGCGAGTCGCTTCAATAGCTGCTCGACGTGTTCTTTATAACCCCATTCAGAGCTCATAAATCGTATTGCCCGATTTTTTCTATTCATTAATATTGCACCATTAGTGGAAGATTTTTGTTTAAGGTAAGTAGACACAAAATTGAAAATTCAATTTATGACTGTATATAAAAAACACCAGAAGGCAACGTAACAGTCAATTGGGAGGATCGAGTAATCTGGCAGTTATAGTAATATGCTCTACGAAAAATAGCCACCGTGAAGGCAAAGGCCTTCTTTCATTCTTATGAGTGTCAAAGGGCGAGGAAGGGTTCACCGCGACGACCCAAAATAATTTGGCAGATTTTACATAATATCCTTATATTTTTCCAATGTGTTAGTCATTTAGTTTCCCTTCACAGCCAAGCACAAAGTAAATCAGAACTTAAAATTACAATATAACTTCATTAGTGTCCGCAGAAACGGAACTCAGTTTGCGCGTGTGCTTTTTAACTATATGCGCTTATTCCCTGAGTTATCAAGGCTTATACAATATATTTAAGGTTGAATTTAGGAAGAGAAGTTAACGATCACTGTAGAGTTTACCCAATAAGAAGAAACAAAAGTGGCCTTAGGAACCGCATCGTTTCACTAGTCATAATAACAACATTGAATAAGGCAAAGATTTACTTACTAGCTAGTGGCTTGTTACCGATGTAACACTCGTGGGCTTTTCTTTATGGTGGAAGTCGTTCTCGATTATGTGTTGTTACTATTATATAGTGATTTGTGTCCATAATACTGTTTTTCTGTCCATTTATTTGTTATCTGATGACAGATGCTTGGATTATGATGCGGAAGATTTTCTAATGATTGTTTTATTTTCTAAGAATTTATTTTCTATGTATGATATCCCCTCTTACACTGTTCTGGTGTAATCATGACAATATTCGATCATAAAGAAACATTTATTTTTGAAGTCAACTACTTGGGCGTAACAATCGACATAAATGGAGGCTATGAACTTTAAAAGAAAAAATTCAGTTGTAGTTCCCGTAAAATATCAAAAAATAAGGGACAAGTACTATTACGTGATAGAGACATGTTGCAGGTTGCAGCTATATTATTAGTATAGTTGTAGCACTAATGGGTCGGCTCAACCGGGGAAGGACCACGCTCTCACAGAACACCAACGTAAACTAGCATCTTAACGCTGCTGTGTTTCGTATGGTGATTGTAGAGAACCGGATACTCTTTTTACTGGAAACGAGGAATTCCATCTAACTTCTCACGGGTGCACATCTGTATTTTGATTTGTAATCGAGAATAGATGTAGATGTCTATGGGCCACAGCAACAACTTATCATCAGGTGGAATGTTTGCTTGTTTGTCACCCTTATTCTATAAAATAAAAAAATAAAGTCTAAAGGTTCAACGTAGCTTTAGATTCCATTTGAAAAGTTACAGCCTATGTGAGCCCGACAGCTGGGCACAGGCCTCTTCCCCTTTTTGAAGGTGTGATGTAGGAGATAGATGACCAAGTTGGTCAAAAAATCAAACGCTGAGACACTGCGGTTTTGAAGCAAGTGCTATATCCATTCCACTTATAACCAGGTGGGCTTGTGTTAAGCGCTGGTTTCTACTAAGTATGAAAAGTATCTAAAATATTTTATTCGTCCGACATGCATATTTTCTCACGATATTTTTTACCGACGAGTATGTGGTGAGGTAAAGCAGTCTTTAGTTTAACTGATGCTGGTGTGGATCGAAGTCGGGTTGCTCACAAGCTATGGAAAGGGCTATGCTCGGGGTTTCTCTGTGTGATAAACTCAGAAATGAGAATATCCGCAGTCGAACCAGAGTAACCGACATAGCCCAACGTTTTAGTAAGCTGAATTGGCAATGGGCCGGCCATATAGCTCGACGAACCGATAACCGATGGGGAAAAAAGGTTCTCGAGTGGCAGCCTCGTACCGGTAGGCGTAGTGTAGGGCGACCCCCCACTAGATGGAGTGACGTCCTGGTAATATATGCAGAAAGTCGATGGATGCAGGTGGCTCAGAACCGTGCTTTGTGACATTACTTAGGGGAGACCTATGTTCAGCAGTGGACTTGTGAAAGGCGGTAATGATGATGGTGATGATGACGTAGCAAAAGCTAGCCATGTTGAGCTTGAGCTTGACCACCTGACTTTGACGATCTAAAAGTTGTAATAGATTAGCAGCGAGGTCATTTCCACGTAGCGAAAGCCTTACAAATTAGAAGGCGCCTCAAACACTACGATTGGTCGCAGTTACATGATTCCCCTTCCCCACCATCCGCACCCCTGTGCCCCCATGCCTGATTGCTAGCAGCTTGCAGTCAGCCGCAAACAAAGCCGCGATGACAAGCACAGCTATCTTACCGGAATTCCGAATACCGCCCCCAAATTGTTAAGCAATCAGCGATGTGAGTTATTTGCTCCGATACTATAATTAACAACATTATTAATACTGATAATATGTCAGCTGTTGACATAATGTTAACAGGTACATACGATATATGTAATTGATGATGTTCCTAATATATAATAACTTAAAAATAAAGTGCCTGCTTGTAAAGAAAACTAAAAAGTAATACAATTTGCTGTAAATATTGCAAATTTTGTCAAAGGTAAAAGATATTAATAAAATATATTATGTAACATACCTTCACCAATTTGTTTATTACAATTGATAATAACACAGGAAATTCCTCATCAAGTGTTCATATATCAGTTCATCAGTTGTTATTATAAACTATCAAACCATCAGCTCATATGTAATCGTTATAATAAATACCATTAATTCTCGTACGTAGTATTATTTTTTGATTTTTACTATATTTCTTACTTTAGTTTCTTATTGTTTTAAATAATTTTATAAAGCGTGTTTCGGAAAATGTTTATGTATTAATAATGTAATGCGTGTGTATTGCAGACCACCTCATTGTTCTAGTGGTCGTAAACGCTACTGCTGATCATGAGATCCCGGGTTCGAATCCCATAATTTTTTCTGTCAAAAAATTCTCAGTAGCAGCCCGGAGTCATGAAGTTAGTACCCGTCTGCGCCTGATCTCTCTATGGTAGCGTAGCATTGCTCTCATTTGATTACGAGTGTTAGGAAATAGAGAGTTCACCTGTGCTTGCGCGCATTCGGGCACTAATCTTGTTCTGCACAGATGACTAGTCTCCGTTGAGGCTGGCCGCCATGTCCGACATTCAGTTTGGAAGACATTAATTATATATATATATATATATATATATATATATATATATATATATATATATAAAAAAAAAAATTGTCCTTTATCCTAAAAAAATCACTTGAAAAATATTGAAGGTCACTTATCGGGATAAAATCTATCCTATCCCTCAAACTGAAGCAAGCAATACACATTCACAAAGTTTTATTGAAGTTAGTTCAGTAGGCAGTTTAGATCATCGCGGATAAACAATGTGACACGTAATTTTTATTTATAAACATCTTGCAGATTTAAGTAATGAGGTGCTCGCGTTCAATTCCTCTTTATATGGTCGAGGTGGGCAAAAGTCAGAAACATCATGCTCGTGACCAGGTGCTGTTGTTTGGGGTTAGAACTTAGTATGTCCGGGCTTGCGACGCACCTGAGATCATAATTTTGGTGTGATTTTATTGAATAACATGACTTTAATACGTTCTAAGTTTATTTATTTCATGCGAAAATTTCTTTCAACGTTTCTTTTTCAATCAGATCGATCTCGTTTTGACACAGTGGAACTTACATTAAAAATTTGTTTCACAAATCTAGTATAATTTAAATTATTTACGTCGAAAATGTAAACATACTTTTTTTTATTTGCTAGATATGTCAAATGACATTTGAATCACATTTTATCTATGGCTATATCAGTCACGTCCCTGACGCAGTTGGCCATAGACTTATTACACTACTGCGTATATCGATGCAGTTGGCACATGTTGGCAGTGCGTTGCACTTCGCAAATGGCTTTGTCCATTGTCTAAACAAAATGTACAAAATGAAGCGCTTCGAAAGTAACATTCGAGATGTGATTGTGAAACGCGCACAGAGTACCGTGACCCTGCGATTACGTGCGACGTAAAGCTCGTACAGGCTGGAATATTGTTGGGGAGGGAGTATTGTTCAGCAGTTTTTAGTTTTTACTTTTAATTCGGGCTCGTGACACATTTGTGTGTCATTCCCTTCGGAGGAGCCCGTCAGCGAGATTAACGCCTACCCGTATCTACCTATATGTTCCGTAATTAAACAGCTTCCGTTACCAATGCGCTTATTTGAACATGCAGCGACGATGTAATTGTATTGTTGTTGCTACTAAATTTCGTTTCGTTTTAATGGATAAATTTAAATTGTTTTATTTTATTTTTTTAGAACGCAAAGTAATTCTAAATACTTTCAACAAGCAGGTACTCTCCGTTTGCAGTTATATAGCAGTAAAGAATTCTTAAGTACGTGTGCACTAACGTTTGTGCGGTTTGTATACAGTTATTATACTCTTTGGTTTGTACAGTGCATAAGTGCCTTTATATACTTTGACGCTATAATGCGTTGTCGCACACACACATGCGCGGTACAGTAGGTATGTGTGTCATCTGCGCTACGTTGGTAAGCACGGAATGCGGCCGCGTCCTTCGGCATACGCGGCGCCGCGCCGCGCCGGTTCATTTGCACACAAACGTACCGCAACTCACATCCAGACGCAGACAAGCATTTTATTAGTAACTTCCTAACTTATCATTTAGATACCAAAATTTGGTATTATAGCTTTTGTAAATTCGATCGGTTACTGCACTATTAGGTACTGATTGTTTGCTACATTCGTTGACTGTGGAATTCGCTTATGTTGTGTGTGTTTTTTTTTATAAAATAAGGGTGACAAACGAGAAACGAGAAAATATATATAGTATATATGAAAGTAGAATTAAATAATAAGATTTTTTTTACAGAATAAGGGTGACAAACGAGCATAAACTTCAAACGATGGTAAGTGGATGCTTGTGGCCCATAGACATCTATATTTATTCTTGATTAAGAATCAAAACAGAGATGCGTTGTACCCCTGAGAACTAAGATGGAATGCCTCGTTTCCAGTAAAAAAGGGTCTCCGGATCTCTACACTCACCATACGAAACACAGCTTAGGTATTTAGCTGCTATTTTGCGCTGGTATTGTGTGAGAGCGTGGTCCTTTCCCGGTCGAGCCGACCTATTCGTGCCACAACCGTAATACAGCTGTAGCGTGGCTCTACCACGTACAGGTTAAATGCGTTTTATGTTTTGTTTTGTATGTTTTCGAGCAATTTGTCAGTGCCTTTCCAACGTTCAATGTCAGGTTGCTGTTTCTTACTGAATGGAAGTTATTGATTGATGGAACAAAGAATCCATATAGGAAATAACTTACAATAATTAATAATTAATCGGTTTTATTTCAGATTTATAGCTACTCGTATGTTATGTTAGCGAAGTAGACCAGAAATACTTATATAAATATTGTTAATCCAGCGTTGTTTTATCATACGATACAGAGGTCGATAAACTGCGCAATTCGTGCAAACTGTGTGGTCAAAATTATAGACGATCTTTCCGGGATGGAAAGGCGTTTCCACGGCATGCAAAGTACCTACATTTCTGAGAACTAGTGGGATTATTCGAGCGTGCTCAGAATGAGTTTGACAGAAAACTGTAAGTATAATGATATGCTGAATCTCAATGTTACATTAATTAAAGCTATAAAAATTCCTTCTTAGACTCTTGTTATTATTCAGGTAGGTACATAATATATTACATGTATAATATTGTGAATGATTCACGATAACCTGTCTGAGCAGCCCATATTTCACAGTTCGATGTGTGCGTTCAGTATTTATTGTTTGTTGTTACGAAAAATAACAATGTAATAGAGTAGACGTATATACAACAATGTGTAGATGATAAATAAGCGTCTAGAAATCAATGCACGCATAAATAATTAAAGTTTAATAATTAGATGATATTTTTAATTTCATTTTGTCTTGTAATAAAATCTATTGTATTTAATTTTGAAGTTGGTATAGGTGAATATTTGCAAATTTAATGTTATTATTGAATGTAATATCTTTAGCTACATTTCTTTTACACGCCAAGAAAATTAGACTATAACGTTTAAACACATGATTTCAATTATACCTATATTGGACTAAACTTTGATAATTGAACATATATCGTATCACAGCATCGCATCGTTGCAAGTGATAATGCACCATTAATTGTAAAACTGGTGCTTTTCTTGTGGTTCAATCTTTTTCATTTGTTTTCCAACCTGTAGTAGTTTCTGATTTATCCTAAATAATGCGTATTTAATTGACTTCGAATACATTGATGATGTTCTCATTTTATTTATATTGAAGTCGGTTGTACAATATTTTTAATTTTACCATTTGTTTTTATTTTTTATTAACATATCCTTCAAAGTGCACGTTTCAATCCTATGTAAATACATGTTAATGAGATCTGCCGTGAAATTTATACATGAATTCGCATTTTTATTCAAAAGGCTATTGTCCTTAAATTGCAACAAGTTCTACATTCAACTTCCGCATATTTATATGAAATGCGATTCTGCGTGCTGGTGACCTTTAAGTAATAAATGGTAATAAAAAACCAAATGGTAAAAAATTCTTGCATTTCATTTTCAACAAACTTTGTATATGAAGTTTGTAAAAAAAGTTTCCTTCATGTTGCGTTTGTCAAATTAAAACGACGATTCTGTATTTCTTTTCATATTTAATAATTATTAAAAGTAATTACAACTGCATAATACACTGCAGCTATATTATGGTTACAACCATAATAAGCTGTAGCACGAATGGGTCGGCTCGACCGTATCACGCTCTCGCAGAATACCAGCGTAAAATAGCAGCTTAATGCCGCTGTATTTCGTATGGTGAGTGTAGAAATCTGGAGACCCTTTTTTACTGGAAACGAGGCACTCCAACTAAGTCCTCAGGGGTGACAACGCATCTGCGTTTTGTTTATTTTTTTGATTCTTTTTTTTAATTTAGGGACTCACGTTATTTTTAACGTGTCAGTCCCATTGTATCTTATAACTTAAGAACACACTACAATTAAATTATATACCATTTGAGCAGCATTAGACAATGGTTCAGACAGAATGCTTTGATATTCCCCTAGGTTACATATTTTAATGTCAGTTTTGGCAACTAATAGTTTCGTTTCATGATGGTTTTTGGAACATTCCAAAAAGTTTTGATTCTTAATCGAGGATAAATGTAGATGTCCATGGGCCACAGCATCCACTTACCATCAGGTGGACTGTATGCTCGTTTCTCACCCTTATTCTATAAAAAAAAACTATCAACAATATTTTATAATTGTATGAGTGCACAGTCTACGAGTACGTGATGGTAAGTGAATGTCAAGGATTTAGATGTTTGGGGTGAATGCTTTGTA